ACTTATCAATGGTGACATCACGTCAACAGCAGGGATCACTATGGGTATAGCAGAAGTACCAGTAGGCGTTTCTCCTCCAAAGCGTGGGCATACACATGATGCAGAAAAAGTGTAAGTTGTGTGGTTTTCATCATTTGAATGCATATGTGTTTTCATTCATTCAGATACTATTTCTTAAGTGGAATTGGAAGAGTTCACATCGATGGTGTCGAAACTGATGTTAAGTAAGGTATATCAGTATGGATACCTGCACATGCTAAACATTTTTGTCATAATACGGGCCCAGAACCGTTAAAACTATTATTCCCTCGACTGTAGAGAGGGTCATATCTTGAGGGTGTGGGTGGGTGGGAGTCTTGGGTGAAACTATGGGTGGATGTATGGGTGTGGGTGGCCGTTGATCGGTTCTTTTTTGGGATGGATGACTGGAATCGATGGTGGGCGGATCTGTTCCCGTAGTGGAGGATTTTATGCGGGTTAGGTGTTCAGTTCTTGTCGATTTGTTCATAATGGAATATGAAGCTGATTGGGGTTTGGAATTGCTAGGAGTGGTGTCAGAAGTCAGTTGAAATGGCTAGGTGTTCCAACTTTTATGCGACTACAAGTGATTTTAGGAGTAAGAAAAGAACGACGAATAAATAATCATTTGTATTACCGTAGCTAAATGCACTGAAGGCGAAAAATAGAGATATCAAAAGATATATTAGCCAAAGTGACATGTGTCAAATGTAATCGTGATCCATTGAACTAAACCTATTAAGTACATGGGAATTTGACAAAGACAAAGAAAGAAAACTGACACGAGTAAGTGATGATTATTGTTGGTGTTCGTAGTACATTTCGATTAATGTTAAAAATATTCTTTTGTAGTTAAGTGTTTGTTCCAGTTGGATTCATAAATCGGAGTTAGAGTTGCTTGTTCGCGGAGTTGCCTATTTCTGGATGGAATAGCGTGTGGTCTCGTGATAGTGAAGTTGATAGGCTGAAGTATGTAGATGAGGATGATTATGCCTTGAAAGTGGGACTTACTTAGGGCTCAGTAAGATTGCTGTTTGACGTTCTCTATTTTTGACTCTTGTGTACGCTTCGTGGCGCATTTGATATGTTGCGTATGGTTGTGAAGTTGTTCGATTGAAGTGGTCCCAGTGCTTATTGTATTGCGTCATCGTTTGCTTCTTCTTATTGTGTATTGCATTGGTAGTATAAAATTGAGATTTTAATATGCCTCTCCAAAAAGAGTAGGAAAGATTCAGTATTTAGTTTTCGAAAGTCACTAAATATATCTACGCAAGTCATTTGAATTGTTTCTTCGTGTATAAAATTGTTAGAGGGTCCTTCCATGGGTAGTCAACCACAAAAAACACAAGTTTCTCAAAAAAATTTTTTTCATACTTGGTTTTGTAGAGCTTGCCACGATGAACATTTTTGTAAAAAAAGTTTTCCCTATACGTTAATTTTTACCTATTTTATAGTCAAAATACGGTAAAAATCGTGAAAAATCATTCGTCATTTTTTCAGCCCGGTTTTTCACTATTTTGGCTCTAGCATCGTCTAGAA